AACAAAAGGGGGAGGTGCTTCGGGAATATCTTCCGCTGCTTCAGCCACTAGTCACTGAAGCACAAGCCCACGGTGCTGTGGGAGCGCCTTCTGCTCCGTCAGCCAATAGCCGCTGAAATACCAGCCCACTGGGGCGTGGTATATTTTTCTTTTAAAAAGAGCCACAGAGCTCAGCTCAGGCCTCTTGGTTCCGGCACTTGGTCCCGGCTCCTGCTCCAGCGACTAGGCTCCCTTCCTGACGGTTTATGGTGTATGTAAGTTTTACCCCCCAAAATAAATAACCCCTTAAAACATAACTGGTGTGGGATTGATTCGCCGTTACATAGGCAGAATGACAGTAGGAGGCATATAAGGGGAAGATATGGACTGGATATTGCAGTACCACTCAGTGGCCAGAAGCAACAGTTTCTGCTCATAGGGGCTACCAGAGTCCAGTGGTTGTCATTAGAGGCTTTGGTCACCCCTGTGATGGTTACATGAATTTCTCTTGCATGTGTGCACTTATTTGAGCCATTTTGTATGGTGGAATGTGAAGTTGATACAGTGCTTTCACAAATCAAAGTACAAAGGTTATTTTGAGGAAAACCCTCAGTGACAGGAGTCAAGGGCAGAACTAGACAATTACTTAATCATAAATTCACATATTATTTGTGGTACTGCTGATCCAACACAGGACTTCACACATGTTATAGCAAGCTCTCTACCACTTCCTAGCCTCCTCTTCAGTGAAACACTATTTTTATACAAAAAAAACAAGGCAAATCAATCACCCTAATTTGACTATTTGGTACTGATTTTCTTAAACCTGGGCTAATAACTCTATCAAATCAAGTGAAAGAACAATGTCATTGTTTGTTAACCATGTGACCCACGCTTTCAGTCCCACCCTAGATTGCCACTTAACTTGTATATGTCATTGTGAACCTCCTACTTTTCAATTTTTATGAGAAATTAGTGGTAATATCAATAGTTTTTCTGATGTTATACAATAAATTGCAGAAATATTTGGGAGATCTGGAGGTTACTCAGTAAGCTAGTGCTTTTCAAGTAACTGAGCCTGTGGGTAAAAGACCCTTTCACAGTACAGAACCGACCAGTGGTTTCATTAAACAGGCCGTTTCAGATTCCACACTGTAACTAACCTTTTGGAAACTATCGCTTACTGAACTATTTATGTATACAGTATTCTCAGTATGTATGCTGCAAGCCAGAAGAGGGCACCAGACCTTATTACAGATGGTTGTGAGCCATCATGTGGTGCTGGGAATTGAACTCAGGACCTTTGGAAGAGCAGGCAGTGCTCTTAACCACTGAGCTATCTCTCCAGCCCTTACTGAACTATTTAATAAGATCATATTTCTCATTGTTTTCAGTGAAAATTTATTACAACAGTCTGAAGAAATTGATCAGATTACTTGTCTGAACATAACACCTCAAACACTGAACTACTAGAAGAAACTAGAAGGAAATACTTCAACACATTGGTACAGGTGATGAATTTTTGGATGATACTCCTGAGGCACAGGAAATGAGAGAAAATTAGGCAAAAGTGGCTAAATAAATTTAAGAAGTTCTGCACAGCAAAGGAAACAAACACAGTGACCAGACAACCTACATAATGGGAAAATATTTTTGCTAACTAGCCCATTAGCTTGACAAAGAAATTATATCTAAAGTGTACAGTATATATTAAAAACCTAACAATAAAATAAGTAATCCAATGAGAAAGAAATATGAGTACATACTTCTCAAAAATTCATTGCCGGCTATTAGTGGTGCACGCCTCTGATCCCTGCACTTGGGAAGAAGAGGCAGATGGATCTCTGAGTTTTAAAGCCAGTCTAGTCCACAGAGTGAGTTCCAGGACAGCCAGGGTTACACAGGAAAATTGTCTCAAACAACCCCAACACAACCCAAAAGGAGAAATTTAATTTTCCAGCAAGTTGCAAAAATTTTCAAGTTCTTTGTACACACTAGAAATGCAAGTTCAGCTATAATTAGTGATCATCTTACCCCAATTAAAATGGGCAACAAAGACACACACACACACCAAGTTTATGAAGAATGGTATGGAAGGTCCTCAAAAGACTAATACACATTTACCATATATATGATCTAGCTACCCTCTTCTTGATATATGTCAGAAAAAAAATAGTGTCAGCATATCAGTGAGATAACTGCACACCTGTGTTAACTGCTGCATTGTTCAAAACAGCTAAGACCTACAATGCTTAGCCTGTGTGCTTGCTTATCAACAGACATATGGATGAGAGCTCCATTTATCTGTAGGTATAAGGATAAGTATTAGAAGTTAGGTAGGGATTATACTGGTTGAAGATTCTTTCTGCAGGCAATGGAAGTCATTACAGTAACCACAACTGGTCAACTGACCAATCTTAGCTGATACATCTAAAATATAACCCTTACCCCTAAGGCACAGGAACCATCTTGGAAATGAGGACAGAAAAATTCTAAGAGTCAGAGAACTAGATATTTGTTGGACGATGGTGTTTTCTGTATAAGATAGGAAATCTGTGCCCACAAAACCTGAACAATATGGCTACTGAAACAGTAACGACACCAGTTCACTTGACAACATGGATGGGGGAAATCTCATAAGGCCTTACCCCCAGGGGAAAACCTGCAGGCAGTCAATGGTCCTCCACGGAGATGAGTTCCCTAAGTGACTATCTAGTATCAAGTGTCAGTCCTAAAAACATATGAGCAACACTTGATGTCCTAAATAGGTTTCATTTATGTATCTATGTGTGTGTACATGTAAAAATACCAATTAAAAGAAAAATGACTACAATAGAGATAGTCAATAAAAGTAGAAGGAGACTTTGGAGTCAGAGGAAGGGAAGCAGTGGGAGCATGAGTAGGATATAGTAATAGGGGATTAAAGATAATCAAAAATCAAAATATATTATATACACAATAAAAATGTCACAGTGAAGCCCATTAGCTTTTACAATTAACAAATGTTAACAGAAATAAAAGGATACATGGATAAAAAAATTCCATATACAGAATGAAATACTATTAAGTCATAAAAGTGGAAATCCATTGTTTGTAGCAGGTGAGCGGAACTGGAGGATACTGTGTTAAACAAAGTAAGCCAGAACAGAGAGACAAGTATAACATATTTCCTCAATTTAGAAGACTTTTAAAAAGTTACCAGAATATATTACTAATTATGCAATATTATTATAAGGGGGTAGAAAGGGTGAGGGGATGAGGAGATAGAGAGATACAAGTAGTGAGTGTTCAGACACAAGCAGAGTGAGGTCTAGTGTTCTCTAGCGTGCATAGGGCTTACATAGACAATATAGTTTATGACTAACTAGCCGTTCAAAGGCACCAAACAGAAACTAATGAGAAGGAGGTGGAAATGTTAATTACCTAATGTGATCAATACACACATAATTCTAGCCATGTTTTGAAATACCACACCATGCCTTCCAGGAACCGAGCAACACTGCATTGAGAAAGGGGAAAAAAACAAAGGCAGGACTTGAAGGTAGTAGGAAGCAAAAGCCAGGGGACACAGCCATGTTATGAGAAAGTGATTATTTGTTGCAGTAAAAGTGGGGGAGGGGTTGCTCTGATTTGCTTGCTCATTTACATAAAATCACAAAATTTTTCTGCCTCTCAGGAATAAATCCAGAGACAGATGGAAGTTCAGAGAGACTTGACTTAGAATTTCTGCCTTCATACTTCCCTTCAGCCTCCTAGCTTTTAGAGTTGCCATTATCACCATATAAGTACAGAGCAGTCAGCCTGAGAGATATGATTAGAAGGCACGGGAATATACATTTAGACTGATGAATACCTTTCCCAGTCACTCTTGCGGGCTGGAATATGCCCTCAGACCCTCGTTTGGTCTATGTTTGCCCCTGCTGTACTGGGGTCAGGACACAGATGTCCTGATATGAAGCCACTGTCCAAATAATTTAATTACTTATTTAGATAATATTTTGCCTTGAAGATATTCAAATCTGAAATGCTTACAGACTGTGGTTTTATGGGGGGAAGGTGAACAAATTATTAATGTTAATAATTTGTGTCTTCAAATGATCTTTTGAAGTATGAATAAAATTTGTGAACATTAATTTCTAAGAGGATTAGGATGAATTTTATTATAGTTCCAATGATTGTGAAGCCTTTAAAATCTCTCAGGATAGAATTTTACAGGTTAAAAAAATGCACAAAATTAGGGGAAACCGGAAATTTTCCTAAACCAGACAAGAAGGCAAGTGGCATTAACTCCTGGATTTTTATTAACGTGTTTTCCAAGTGCTTGACTTAGCACATCCCACTTAGGACTCAATGACCACCAAGTGGTTCTGAAATGGTTTCCATAAATCAAGGTGTGTGGCAGTGGCATCTAACATGCTAGATGGATTAGCTAATCATCCTCGTGTGGTGACTCAATGAGGCAGGAACTGTGTTTCCTCTGAAATTAGACTGTTGTTGAATCTCATTCTGACCTTTGAGTTAAATTCTAATTTCTCATGGGCACCCATGTTCCCACATTAAGCACGCCCTGTCCTGAGATTTATGAAGGCAGCAACAGTCCAATGTGAATTACTTTAAGGGTTCTTCTTTCTATGCTGTAAAAGGGTTGTCTTGCAAAGCCAAATAAACTTGGGTAAGGTACGGGGGTGGGGGGGAGAGTGGTGGTTCTTTAGCGGCATAGGAATTTCTTTTAAGTGAGCTTGCATTTTGCATCATAACCCCACCCTGTTTTATTACTATCCATCGTTCAGCTGCGGATCAGTCAGCAGCACCTCCGTCCTCAAACACTCAGTTGCCGAAGAGCCCAATTACAATTTGTCCTTGAAGCCAGCTAAAGATAAACACTTTCACCTGAACACACACAAGCCCATTCCTGACTACTCTACCACTCCTTTTACTTTTCCCTGCACCATCGGCTTTCTGTACCCCCTTGCCCTTCCTTCTGCATTAGAATTTTAAAACAAATGGGAAACTTTATTTACCCAGGGACACTCTCGCAGGAACAGCTCTCCGGTCAATCCAGAATGAAACCCACGACAGCATCACCATCAGCATGGCTGGGAAATAGGTCTGCAGTACAAAGAAGAAAATATGCCTCCGCAGCACAAAGTTGATGAAAAGCCTATAGTACCACCCTAGGAGAGAGAAACAGTTACCATTAGGCAGGCTTTCAGGAGACAGCGTGCTTAGCTACACTCCATGTTTTTCAGAGGGCAAGCTCTCAGCCTTCATAGAATCTGACATACCCACCTCAGTTTCCTCAGCACCGGCTGGCACCTGGGCTTCCATTCTAACATTGTTAGATAGCCTGAATAACAACTGGATTAATTATTCCCTACAAAAATATGTTTACCTTCTATAGCCAAGCTTGGGGGGAGGGGTGAACGGTAATTACATTTGTGTGTGGTCTTTGAAGACCCTTTTATACACTTATGTTGTTCGCAGGGTTTCTATAAGAAGGAAAGGCTTCAGTGCTAATTGATGACTGCATCGTTAATAATCATTTATCAGCTGTCACAAATGAAGAACAGTCTGCCTGCAAGAATAGGTTTTAAGTAGATAACTGGGCCTTTGTTTGGGATCTAGTACGCAAAGGGTTCAATCTGTAAACAGATTACCAGTGGTGATATTTCTTTGCATATTCTTGGTTTAATGTAAACTCATGTTGGTGATATTATTTAATCTGACTTCAAATACAATTGTTGCCATATCCATAGCAAACTGTACAGAATTCCCCTCTCTCTCTCTCTCTCTCTCTCTCTCTCTCTCTCTCTCTCACACACACACACACACACACACACACACACATTTGCTGTAAGGACATTTCAAAAGGTAGAAGATTTATATGACCTTAAGAGAAACCAGAGTATATAAAGGAGATTTCTGTGAAAATAGAAACCAAAGTATATAAAGGTGTTTACAGCCACATTTTCTAGCCATCTGCAGGACATCACTGAGGATTATTCATCATGTCCCAAATTATGAGCACGATTAATAAAAACTCAGAGAGAGAAATTGGGGTTCAACCTGAAGATCTGAAAAGCAAAGCAGTCAGCCACTGGCTCTTATCTCTACCTCAGTCTGAAATGGTGATCCTGCCTCCTGGAATCTCAGAATGAGACTGTGTCTGAGAGCTGTCTCCCCCCATTTTATATTCCTCTCTAGGACTGGATTAAAGGCGTGCACCACTGGGTTTAAAGGCATGCAGGACCTGATTGCTGTAGCAACTAGTGTGGCTACTGGGATTAAAGGTGTGTGTTATTATAACCTGGTCTGTAAGGCTGACCAATGGGACTGTTTTACTCTCAGATCTTTAGGCAGTCTTTATTTATTAAAATGCATAGAAATGCCACTACAAGACTATGCTCAAGAATTATGTTTTTCATTTTCCATTCATGCTTAATTATTTTATTATTTTATTTGTGTGTGTGTGTGTGTGTATGTATGTTTTACTTTACAAATCTTCAGGTTTGATGTATGTATGTACTCTATGTGCATAACTGATGCCTATGTAGGCCAGAAGAGGATACTAGATCCCCCAGAACTGGAGATACAGATAGTTATGAGCTGCCATGTGGATGGTGGGAATTGAACCTGGATCCTCTGGAAGAGCAGCCTGTAATCTTAACTGTTGAGCCATCTCTCTAGCCCCTTACTCGTACCTTTTAGTGCTTAATAATAACCATGTATTGATCTTCATATTTACTGAAATAAGGTTGTAAACAGTGAAATGAGTAAGCACCAAAATATGCTTTATGAATGACATATAGACTAACTTCTATATGTCAAATTTTTTAAAAGAAATTATTCAAAACCCAGAGACTATATAGGTTAAGTTTTAAATCAGGATCACAGGCAATGTAAAGATAGAGAATTCTTCTACCACTTTTAGTAGTGATTTCTTAGGATATACAAATGGTAAACCTGATGGGAGACACAGGGTCTTTGGCCTAACATTGAGCAGTAGAACAACAGCAGTGAGTTGGGAGGCTCTAGATCCAGTCTCTGACTTTCAGTGAGCTGCTTATGATACTTCTCATCTGCTTAGACACTAAAATTCTCACTGTTAGTTGACACACATGCCTTGGAACATATATACTGCAAGATTATTAGTTTCATTAGCAGTGGAAATAAAGGCTACATCATGCAAAGCATTTTAGGTTAACATATACATTGCCTTCTGTTCCCACTCATGGACTTGTACTTGCATTTGATTTTAGCTAAAAGCTTGGTAAAAAGCATTGTTTTGTATTGGTCACTAAGTTTGCTGTGTGTGAAACTGAAAGTTTTGATTATGCCTGTAGGGCTGAATAATAATATACCAAGCTCTACAGTTCATATAACTGTTGGAAGATTAAAATAAAGAATAATTACAAAAGTGTTTTATAAATAAAGATAGAATTCCAATATAGTTACTCCTACAGACGTGTAAAGGGATTGGTTCCAGGGACTCTTGGGCACTGATGTATATAGAAGTAAATTAGCATAGAAGTATGCTAATTTAAAATCCTGTAGAATTATTTGCATTTATATCTATTTGTATATTTGAAGTAATCTCTTTTATTTGTAGTGCCTAACATAATGTAAATGCAGCATAAATATCTGTTATATCGCGTTGTTTAGGGAGCTGTGATAATACACAGCTGTGCTTATGCTCAGTACGAGTCGGTTTACAAATATTTTCAACTCACAATTGGCTGAGTCCATGGATGTGAGAGCAACAGATACAGAAAGATGATTGTAGATAGTTTTATGTTCATTATTTAGTTTTTCAAATAAATTTAGGTGACTATTCTTTTAATGAATAGTCATTATTATTATTTAGCAACATTAAGGATTAAACCCAGAGCCTCAGAAATACGAGGTAAGTATATATCATTAAACTGCACTGCTTGTTTTTTGTTTTTTTTTTTTACATTTTTCTAGATAATTATTTTCTGGGACTTGGTTGGTGAGGCTGGTGCAAGGGATTAACCAGGAAGGAAGAATGCTGCTCCACCCTGTGGATCAGGGAGGGAAGACCAGGATGGCACTGTGGGTAGACAGTAGGCCAGCAGGGCTCCTTTACCTGTTACAACAGGTCATGCCGCCTTGTTGGATCATCACTCCAGGTAGTATAAAAGGGTCTGATTTCGTCTTTAGTATTAAAGAACCAAGAGTTCCCAGGCCCTATTTCTGGGTCCCTTTCTACCTTATAGATAACAAACTAAAGAACAAAAACAAATAATGATGATACTAAGCTCTGCAATACAAAAAAAATGAAACAAAACCTCTTTTGGTACCTGTGAAAAATTCAAGCCATCAGTGTCTGCTCTAATAAAGGGAACATCCTTGACCTTAACTCTACCCAAGCCACCATAAATTTAACCCCAAGCCAATCGCTCCTTTCTGTGCTATTTTCAGACTTGTTTGGCAACCTGAATTGTTCTTTCTAGGAAGCTCATAATGTGAGTCATAAACTCTTCATACTTTGATGTGTACAGCATCATACATTTTACAGCATGAACTGAACTTTAGGTGTGTGTATAGTCTTAGGTCTCCCATTGCCTCCATCAGTAGAAAGAAGCAGAACCAAAGACGTGAGAAAAGCACTGGCAGTAATTGAGGTGCCATCCGCAGTAAAAAGCTTCTTCTATACCTATAAATTGTCACCTTTAATCACTTTCTGACACTGAGACCCTGGGTTGTATTAAAAGCACCACAATGAAGATGCTGATGGAAGTGGTGATGATGAGAGTTTCTAACTGCTCAAACACTGCCCATATAATTATTAAATGTATCAGTTTAGCTACAGAATCCCATGAGATAGAGACATTGGGAAACACCATATTAAAGCTAAGGAAATTGAAGGCTGGATCAAGCAACGCTTCCGAGGTTGTCCTGGTGGTAAGCGATGGAGTAGAGTTTGAAGTCAGGCAGTTGCCCCTGGACTTTAGTTTCAATAAATAATTTTCCAATGTATTCCATGGAGGTAGGAGTCTTTCCTTGGTGAAGTCAAGACATGTGAGTTAGAAGAACACTGAAATGGACGAGGGACAGAGAAACCCTCTCCTCTTTGTTGATTCCACTGAGTGGTTGTGGGTTTGTGCAGAAGCAATGGGAGTGATGAAAGCATCGTAATAGAAAAGGAAGATTCTGTGGTCCAGCTACAAGCGGAAAGTATGTTTCTATCTACAGCTCCCTCCAACTCCAGTTTTGACAATGGGAGCCTATTTTCTTGTATAGCTATTTTAGGATGGCGGTTATAGTTGGCAATTGTGATGATGGGAATAAGGAAAAATATTTACAATCATTTTCATGAAGCTAAAATATTTAAACAGCAGGGCCCCACATTTTAAACTGGTGGATAACATGGGGCAGAGCAGTTACTTACTCACGAACTAAAATCAATTTCTAAGGCCGTTTTTCTGAAGCTTAGGAATTAGATAGATCTGGATGCAACTATTAATTTGATATAAGAGCACAGCTTTCAAAATGCTGTGCTCTTGCATTTTTCTACTCTTAGAACCCACTTTATTCCTTGTCATTAAAATGTGCATGTTTTAACAGAATCAGAACTGCAAAGTATAGAAATAAAATTGAAACTTTCCTCAATCTCTACCCACTTCTCTGAATTTTAAAACAGACTGGCACATAAAACATACCCACATGTGTATAAATCATTTCTTCAATAACAGATATGGGTTTTTGTTAACGACTCTTCTATTAGTCACTTTTAAAATTAGAGCAAGCTCACATCATGCTATACAAAGCATTTGAAACGAATGCTATCTTAGTCCGTCTTTTTCACAGAAACTAACGTTCTATTTCTTGAAAGTGTAATTAAACTGAAATGTTAAGGCTTCATAGTTCGTTTAAAAAATACATAAAAGCATCTTTGTGAACAGATTTTCAGCGATGTTTTGTCTGAATTTTGCCAGACTCTAAAACATGAAGAGAAGAGGATAAAAATTACCTAGTGTTGATCCTGCCTTGGTGACAGCACAGACATCAGCGTGAATGGGAAGTCTTAGAGGGAGAGTTAGGAACTGGAAGACTCACCCTCTACTATAAGAGGAATAGTTAAATTTCTACTAAATATTTACATGGATGCTAAGCTTCAAAATTGTAGGAAATGATATTGCTGTCATTATAGACACAATGTATTGATTGGTACAAGGATACTACCCTTAGATTTTGGTGTTTCCCATATATCACATTATGATAACATTAAAAGACAGATTATAGATGTAATTTATTATGTGTCAAAGTTATTTTATCACAGAAATAATATAGAAAAATTAAAACTCAGTTATATCATTTTTCACCATATATATATATTTATTTAAATGCTGATTTAATTGAACTGAGAACTAAGAACATTAACTTCCTGATACCACATTTGAAAAAGGAGCAAGAAAAGCAGAAAACTGAATCACAGCAGCTTGTCTTCATGAGGTGTTCCTAGTATTCCAAGGACTCTTAGACTTTTGAAATTCTTTTTGAATTATTCACCATGTATTCATCTATTCAACAATTTGATTGCAAGAATCTTCTATATTCCAGGGATATATCAGTAATCAAGAAACACAAATGTATGTTACTTGCATATCAGAAAACGCAACAAACAAGACTAAAATTAATAACAGCGCTCATTGAATGACAAAGAGTGCAAGCCAACAGGGTGAAACAGACATTTCTTCCTGATCTAAATAGCTAAAGACACATTGGTCCTGGGGATGCAATTAGCTTCTTTGAGATTTAAATTTTGGCTGTTTTCTTAAGACACAGACTTTTAGATAGATGATTGTGGGGGCCAACGACGATGACTGATAACTCAGAATCTGCTCCTCAAGCTCCAAGGCTGTGCAGGTGAGAAGGATTCTAGCCAGGGCAGCTTGTGAAGCACGCCTTGTAGCCTGAACACTGCTCTTTTGAACCACAAACGATACTTCCTCCAGCTAAAAGACACAGAGTACTTGTCACTAGCAAGATGATGGATAATGGCTATGGGGGTGGGGTATTGTGGAGGAGGTCAGAAAGAGGCTGCTCTTAATTTTAGTTAACAGCCAGATCAGTTTTAAAAACTCCTGGGATCAATGCTACCAATCAGAAACCTGCCAGTCATGGTGAAGAGTATATACGTATATACTGTACTGATTCTAAACAGATTTTGCTTTTAGGACATCAGTGCATCTTGTTAACTCGGTGTGTCAGGTGATTTTTATTTTTTGAGCAGCTACCATATGCTAGGCATATTCTAGAATCTGGGATGAACTGCTTAGCAAGGCAGATAGTTTCTGACCTCTTTCCAAAGATAGACCGAGACAATAGGCAATGAAGCATCTACTTCAGTTGGGAGTATGTGCTGGGAAGACAGGAAATCGTGAGGAAAGAGGCCTAGCTTTGAAGGACTAACTAGGATATCACCATTTGAGAAGATAATTTGCAAAGTTACGACTAAGGCAGGTAATTGGTCATGAGATAGTGGGGCAGGGGCAAAATCACATAGAAGAAATGAGATGAAAGTCTCTGGGAGCAAGTGAAGGGGAGGGGGAGGACACTATGATATAGGAACAGGGTTTGGTGTGAGTCAGAGCAGCATGCAGGATCGAGATCATGTTGAGAAGCTTGCCCTTGGTTCTAAGTGCGATGGAAAAACACCAAAGGGTTTTTGATCTGGAAAGGGTTTTAAGTTGCGATTTCCATGTTGCAAAGACCATACTTTAAGTTCTACTAAGCATAGAGTGGAGGGACCAAGCGCAGAATCAAGGAGTCTTCTTGGAAAGGTTTGCGTGGGGGTTGGAGGGATCGTAGTTGCAACAGATTTGTCTGCACATAGAAGGCTGTACCTGTGCTGCTATAGAAAGCCAATCCACTAGATGCGCTGAACTCCTCAATGAAGAACTGAGAAAGGGAAATGTGCTCTTCAGTGTTTAAGGATTTGTTGCCGTGTTTCCAGTACAACATTAGGTCCTCTTCATTGTAGGCATCTAAAATAACACAGACAGTTCATGTCTTAGCAGTTAGGTGAGGTCTGTTTTCAACAGTTCTGAATCCCCAGTTCCTGGTTCAGAGGTGTCCATGTGCTATGTATTGAAGGACACTTTCTAAGGGACTGAACAAACCCACAGTTAAAAAAGGAAACAAAGACAAACAAACACCAACCCCACAACCATCTCTAAAATCCAGAGACTGTCAGGTCAGAAGCATTTCTTTCTTTGTGATGTTTACTGTACTCCAGTGTGCCTGTCTGCATGCATTCTTATATAAATTAAGTTCTCACTCAGGGTAAGGCCAATGCACTAACTCGCAGGGGCTGAGTCCATGCCTTTAAGTTTCTTTAATGGAATTCTCTTAGATGAAATTCTCAAATGAGCCTTACGAATTTTTTTATTGTGTCATAAAATGTTTGTAATAGACGTGTACAAAGGAGCAGATGTGTAGACAGCATCCGTTGAGAGTCAGAGTTTCAGTCATATGATGAAAAACTGATCATCTTTTAAGCTGCCTTATCAAAAGTAAATGTTGGGTAACAGTTATTGGCATGGAGCTAAACCAGATGCCTCTTAATGGAGTCTGTGCCCGAAGCTGGGTTGCTCTAGGAAGCTCATCCACATTTAGTAGAGGATCGGTACTTGTCTAGCTATAGGATCCCCGGATCTTCCACGTGTAGAGGGTCAGTGCTAATGGTGGAAAGCTGCCTTTTTATTGCTATTGTGAAAATCACAGACTATTTAATGACCAAAGCATTTGCCCATGAATCTCCTCATTTGAAAGACAATCTGTCATTTTTATCATTAGAAAAATAGAGGTGGTGTAACACTGAAAAGTAATACAATCTAACTGGAAAATATGATAAAATGGAAAAAGGTGATATGATGCTTAAATGATTGCTAAGCACATTCTTATTTCCGGTGATGTGTGTGGTGTGTTCTGATGATAATGCAGGCGTGTGAAATGCTTACAGCTTTCTAGTTCGAGAGAGCAGTTCTGAGTGTCCAGAGGAAACCTGCTGAAGTCCATAAGGCACATGGCCGAAACCGTTATCCTGGAAACGGAATAAGGAAGAGAATTGTGATCATTTACCCATATGGCCCAACTAGCATGCAGAAATGATGCTTCTTAGTGTTTGCTTGCTTTGGGTGCCTTTCAGGGATAATGAGAAACAGGCCTGACTATCTTCTGTCCAAATAATAAGGAAGCAAGCGCATAGGGGTAGAAATTGCTCAAGACAGAGATTGATGAGTGAATTCTTACACTTGTCCTGATCTCACCATTTCGTGCTTAGCTCCTTCTGCATTTTCTGGCTCTGATGACTATTTTTTTTTTTCAGAAAAACACTTCAAAGTCAGATACTTTCAGTGGATTTAAACACATTCTGCTGTCTAGAAGATGCAAAATTGAGTAGCCTCCAGTTAAAAAGAGTTGAGGTGGTGAAAACACAAATTTATAGGTAAAGGTTTCCTTTACAAAGCACTAGGAAATTTTCCTTGTGGTACTAAGGCAAAGCCAGGAGCGTGTTTAGTGATAGATCCATGTGCATAATACATAATTCACAATCTATTAAGGCAAAGACTTGCATATTGATGAGGCTTATTTTTTTCCATAACATTTTATATTCTCCTGGATTTTCCTGGCTCCAGGCAGAGGCTGCCGTCCTGTGATCTTGCCTCAGAGTGAGAGCGGCGGTAGCCACAACAGCAGATTAGAGGTTCATAAAAGGCCCCGGAGCTAGTCTTCAAAAACAAAGACAGCAGATGCTCCTGCCAGTGGTGCCCCTGAGTTAATCAGAAGAGCAGAACTATTTTATCTTCTGTGATCTGAATTTTATTGTCAATAGTCAGAACAGAACATCAATAACAGAAGTGTGTGGATTTCTTTCTGTGCAAAATGCATACTTAGTCTGGTATGTTCCTAGTACATTAAAGGAATTATTTTCTGAGGTCTTTACACCATTTGCTCCCTAGTATACATGAAGAAATGAATGACTGAAGAGGATTTTGGCTAGATGGTCTCAGAACTCAACCTGGTTCCAGGTACCAGGAGATCTAGATCTGTGCTTGGACTGATTTTTTTTGTTGGACCGAAGAGCTGTGCTTACAACAATTTTGGTTCCTCTTGAGTACAGGAACCTCTAAGACCACCTCCAGGGTTAAGCTTCTGCAGAAAGACTCTAAGAATCAGTAAAGCTATAATGCTCATGGGTACACCTGAATGACATATACTGCACTTTAAAACAATGAGGATTAAAACAGTAACCAGAAAAGGCAAGAAGGCCAAGTCTAGGAGAAATCACAAGTTTCCTGTTGTCCTTCCTGGAAAGTGTGACCTCCTTCTGCCAGTAGTGATACACATGGCATCATGCACAGTGCGCTAGGGACCAGGAAAGTTCACACAGGCCTTGGTGAGGAAAATGTTAACTCAGAATTTACCAGCTAGATGAGTGACCTTAGTTTCAATCTCTCCAGACATGAGAATGATACTGTGGTACAAGGAACCCACCATAACCACCATGAGCATATACTCCCAGGTATGGCTTATGGACTTCAGATGAACAGAAACGTTCTTCATAAACAAGATAGTCCAAGAGATTAAAGGTGATTTCACCATGTACGGCAAGGGCCAAACAGACATTAGAAAGTGCAAAGTAAACAGGATCCCCAGAGTTAATCTATTACAGTTCATTTTCTCACCAAAGCAACTTTAAAACAGCTGATTCTTTTGTCGGATTCTGTTTTTTCAATTCTTAAGGACTTTTGACAGTAGTATTTATGAGTCCTATAGAAAACAGTACTGGGAGTGCTGGAGAGATGGCTCAGTAGTTAAGAGCACTGATTGCTTTCCCAGAGGACCAGGGTTCAAATCCCAGCTGGCACCCATATGGCAGCTAACAAATCTAATGCTCTCACGTAGACATAAAGTCAGACAAAACACCAAGGCACATTTGATAAAATAGAAAAAACCATACTGTTCATTAATTGCGCTTATAGCTCTTTAAAAATGACTGATGTTAGCCACTCTGTGAATGATACTTGTAATGAGCAAACATAATTTCTTAATGCTGCTATAACAGCTTATTATAATAATAAATGTATTATTTCAGAGTTCTGTAGCCCAGAGGTCTGATTAGACACTCTGATCCAGAGTTACTCTTGTAACACTTTCCAGGGGAAAATCCACTCACACTGGTTGACACCAGCTGTCCTTGGCTTGGTAACTCATTGTCAACTCGTCTTTTGTGTGTATCAGATTTCCTCTCCTTTTTCTTTTATATAGATTCTTATGCTGCATGTAAAGTCAAGACAGAAAATACAGGACCATTTTCCTACATAGAGATCATTAATTTAGGGCTAGGTGTAGTGACACACACTTTTAATAGCAGTACTTGGGAGGCAGAGTCAGGCAGATCTCTGAGTTGAGAACAGTCCTCGACACTCAGACGTCCAGAACAGCCAAGGCTTCACAGAGAAACCATACATCTAAAAACAAACAAACAAGCAAACTAGCACATCATTAGCCTAGCACATTTGTAAAGATCCTTTCCCTTCATACAGAACAACTCACAAAGTTTGAAAGAATAAAGACCTCAGTTTTTAAACATATCATATACCCTGTTTCAGATTTTCAGAGTGTTAAAAAAGCTGAGTAGCTTGGACGTACATGTTTTTTTTTTTTCTTTCTAGAATTTCTATTATAAACTGCTGCACATACATAGAAACTTATTTAGCTAAAATAAAGTATGGATGATTAAAGATGAAATGCCTATAATAGCACAGTGCTGGAACACATGTTTTAACTAAAACTAACAAGGAAAAACAAGTGAGAAAATTTATGTTAACTTGTATTGTGATTATGCATTCATATTACAAATGAAGGAGCTAACTGAACAAAGTGTTTTGACAATTTAAGATTCTAAATTAGTTGGTGGAGTATAGGTATAGGAAGGAATTTGTTAATGGAAATAGGCTCATATACCTAAACAATTGTGTGTCAGATTTTTAAGTATTTCCAGAATTCAGCTCCACTTTAATCTGTCTAAACAATATGTCACCAGAGGGGGAATATACAGAATAGAAAGAAATTCCGTAAAGTTTTGGATAACAGAAGCAGGGAAAATTGCATAATCTGGGTGTGTCCAATCTGACATGAGACTCAGCAGGTCTGGTTAGATGGCCGTGGTGGAAGGATGCCAAAGGCCGTAGGAGCCCTCATACCTGAGACTGAAGAGAACATTTCCATCTGGGTGTACTCGCAGCATGATGTTCTCCACGGTTGTGTCGTGGATGAAGGATCTTTTAGAGTGGACAAAGAAGATATCAGGGACCCAAATCTTTTGAATCAGTCTGTGATCAAAGGTCATGCTTTTGTTTGTAGTGCTAGCAAAGGCGAGTCTCTCATCCTTCCAATAGTGCCTGAGATAAAATGTCATCGTAAAGTCCTGGGCACAGAGAAAGGGGCCAGTGAGAACCAGTGCTTTCATTACCACTTCAATCTTATGAACTCCCTGAGAGCCACAGTGTTCATAGTTGTAAGTTATCGTTTGCGCTGAAATGTCAGAGAGATGTAAGATGAAGTGAGTCTCTTACTTTTTCTCACACCCCTCCTCCACTCCCATCTCTGACGTCTTCCCGTCCCATTCCTCCTTCCCTCTCTTCTTCCTTTCTTTCTCTTCCACTTCCTACTTCTTTTTTAAACAGAAAATTTACAGTCTAGATTTAAACTCACGATCCTGTTGCTTTGTCATCCTGGGTGCCGGGACTATAGCATATTTAAGAAAAATCTATATAAGTATTCCCTTTTAAATTTGTTTTTTAATGTTCATTGCTTTGTGTTATTTTTAAAAAACAGATCTCCCAAATTGAATGCAATGTAGTCCCACCAGAACGCAAACACAGACAGTGTTTATTAGTGGAAAGCCAGTAGCTGGAAGTTCAAGGCTATAGATAGTAATATATTTGATGATAGAAAGGTTACTGTGAAACGCTGGCTTGCACAAAAATCTCCTCTGAAGCTTGTTGAGATGCACACTCCCGAGAAGCAAATTGTCAGCACTCCCAATTCAGCGTGGCTCGGGGATCTGAACTGGCATTATGTAGACCAGCTGTAAGAGTATGGCAACGAGCCATAGAAATCTAAGTTAGCATCCAGTACTGCACAGCTCAAGGGGCTGAACTGGTATCAAGCATGGCAGCTGTAAGAATATAAGGATGAGGAATAAAATCCTATACTAACGTTACAGAAAAAAAAACCAGACAAAGATTTAAGAATTTATTTAGCTAAATCTGAATTTAGCATTCAGATGTCACAGTTAATATTCTGGTTGGTTGAAAAGAAACTCTTATCATCTGTGTCATTGGGTCTGGATATTAATAATGTGCTTTACTTTTCTTGATTATGTTTCACTTTTCACAATTATTTACTTATCTTTCACAACCCAAATGCACATTTTCTTGCACTGATGTGTATAACGTAACTTTGGCATACATTGTACAAGCAGAAGATAAGTCTCAGTTGATTGCAAAGAAGTTACCAATCGTTCATCCAGCTACATTGTTTTTCTTAGGTTCCAAAAATGTCCACTGAATGATTGCTGTGAATTAACTATGACCCTTAAGTATGGGTGACTGTGGCTTAGAGTGAAGGTCAGTAAACAGAACCATTTCTTCAACAACATGACACTATTTCCCAGGGAATTGTGTGGGTTCCTGGGGGGATTGGCTTAAGAGGCATATACTTGGAATGATATGCTCAGTGTGATCTGGAAGTCATTTTTCAAACACTGAACTTATGAAGTCAGATTGCTTATACTGGTGCCTGCCTTTGAGGCATTACCCAACACTATCTTGAGCACCAAACTGAAGTTTGCTGAGTAGAGAGTAAGACAGAGTTGAAAGGGTGCTCATAGTGAGGTTGAATGGATTGGATAATAATGTACAGAACATTAAAAAAGGCTAACCTTTCACACAAAGCAAGGTGCAATAGGTGGAGGTCACTCATATTTATAAAGTATTTTCTAGTTGGCCATGATGAAACCAGATTATGTTTATCTGATACTGAGCAGCAAAGTAAACCTAATTTAGGGGAGAAAGACAATACATAGTTTGGGGGTTTGTAGACAAGAGGCAGATGTTAAGTATAGGCTAGATCACTATGAATGACTTATATAATTTAAATCCCATTTTAGAATTCCAATAGACAACAAAAAGTATTAATAAGAGCTGCCTTTGGGTCAGGAACTGTGGATATTGAAGCCATTGTTTTAGGGAAGGTCTTTGCCACTATCGTTTGGGCAAGTGCTGGGAAAACGAAGAATGTTTAACTTAAGGCCTTTGTGAACTAAATAGATATCGGCGAAGAAAATTTTAAGATCAGATTGGAACACAGAAGATTTTATTTAGATGCACCTGGAATTTTTGTTAGATGCATATGGAATTTTCACACCTCCTGAAGTTTTTATTCAGTTAGGAGGAAGAATAACTATAAAAGATATATGATTAAATAAGCAACTGAAAGAGTTTCATGACTCACAATTTATATTCTTTAGTTCTCTTAAGAGAGTCTCACAGGCAGGTGGTGGTGGTGCACACATTTAATCTCAGCACTCGGGAGGCAGAGGCATCATATCTCTGTGAGTTTGACGCCAGCCTGGTCGACAGGTTCCAAAGCTAACAGAGAAACCCTGTCTCCAAAAAGAGAGTCTAGGGGCTGGAGAGATGGTTCAGCCGTTAAGAGCATTGTCTGCTCTTCCAAAAGTTTTGAGTTCAATTCCCAGTGGCTCACAACCATCTGGAATGAGGTATGGTGCCCTCTTCAGGCATGCATGTAGACAGAATATTGTATACATAATAAATAAATAAATATTTTTTAAAAAGATAGTCTAACTTTGCTTCCTTTCTTCCTTTCTCTCTCATACTTTATCCTTAATTGTGGTATTTTCATAAATAGTCATATGTAAAATCTAAATTCAAAGTTATTTCCACAAAAATAAGGATACATAATACAGATTATATATCAAAAGTTTTATTTTTAAATATCTATAAGCAACTTTTGAAAATTTAATTAGCACATACATGTGAAAGATTCAAATAAAGAGAATGAATTATAAGGATTCATGAATGTAGAATCCCTTGTAGATATTGACAATTTTCTTCAGCTGAAAACAAAATTTAGAATGCAAATACTTCAATTTTCACTTTTTAATGGAGGAAGTAGCCCTTGATTTTATTGAAGGAAAATATCACACATGTGGAAGATCCATATGTGGACTTTCAAATAGTTGATCTCATTTTGGTTGTGAGTAGAATGTTGGTTACTAGAGCCTGAGAGGAATAGGGAGGTGGGAAAAGGTAGACAAACAGGAGCTAAGTTACAGCAGGTCAAGAAGACTTCACGTAATATTATACAGGAAGACCTTGTGTGGTATTATACAGGAAGTTCCAGTGTGGTATTATACAGGAAGTCCCAATGTGGTATTATATAGGAAGTTCCAGTGTGATATTATACAGAAAGTCCCAGTATGGTATTACACAGAAGAGTGACTGCAGGTGTATGTTTTTCCATCATTAATGTGCTGTGTATTTTTCAAAAAAACAAGAAGAAAGTTGAGTACTTTTATAGAAAAGTGTGGGGAGATAGCCATGTTTTGATGGGAGTACTGTGTCTTTTATATGTGCCTACCTCATAAATCGCACAACTTTGATATTTTAATTATAACACTTTTAACAGCCCAGCACAAAAGTCCAGGCTACGATGTTTAATGTAGAAAAGGAAGGATGATTACTACCAGGATAACAGTCACAATCTCAAATAATGCTAAGGACCATCTGGGTAACTTCATAGAACAGGGAGACTAAATCTAGAGAGAAGCAGTGTAGTAGGAGGCTGCTTGTTCGTCATGGCCACCCAGAACCGAAATAACCACGCAGAAACTGTATTAATTAAATCACTGCTTGGCCAATTAGCTCTAGCTTCTTATTGGCTAATTCTTACATATTAATTTAACCCATTTTGAGCAATCTGTGTATCACCACATGGCTGTGGCTTACTAGGTAAAGTTCTGGCGTCTGTCTCCAGCTGGCCTACATGGCTTCTTCCTGACTCTGCCTTTCTTTCTCCCAGCATTCAGTTGAGTTTTCCCCACCAAGCTCTGTTCTACCCTATCAGGCCAAGTCAGTTTCTTTATTAGCCAATGGATTTGCAGCATACAGAGGGGAATCCCACATCAAAGCAGCACCTGGAATCTAAGGCCAACAGGAGGGCACAAGATCCATCTGGAGCCTTTCATAGTCAAATCAATTCAGGGGGCACTAAGAAGCAAAGTACACCCAAAAGATCCATACTCTTAATGTTACTTGGTGCTGGGTACCTGCTATGAGTATTTGTTATTTACATGTACACATAATCAGAATAAAGGAAACCCATGTAAAAAGGGCAGAAGAGACAACAAAAGTGGGGGTGGGGATTGCTACTCATCTAGCAGGGTTCCAGGGACAAACCTGACTGGTGCTTCCTGGGATTGAAGAAAAGACAAAGACCCACATGGTCAAGCAGAAATCTGGGATTCTGTGGTCTGGGCTTTCTGCTGGAGAAGCCTGTGCATAAAGGACCTTCAATTTGTTTATTATATAGACTTGAGTGGACAGCAGGGTTGTTGTACACAGCTGAGCAAGGAAGCTGGTTATTACATACAGATGGACAAGCAAGCAGGGGTTTATAATATACAACTGGATCAAGGGGACAGGTTTAGCTAATCTCTGTAGAAACTGTCTCTGTAGGGGAGCAGTCTTCAGGCTATAATTGTCAGGGGAGGGGTAAAGTTTGTTGGACTTTTTTTCTGCACATACTGTCAATATTTCACTCATGGACCTTTGCCATCACTCCTTGGGCTTGAGGCTCTGGGTTTCTATCAACAGAATAGTTACTTGGGATTTCCCTCATTCAGGGCTTCTTCTGGTCCCTACAGATGCCGGGAGCCATTAGGGAAAACCAGGAAAGGACCACTGAAAATGTGCCTTAGAAAGGCACTGGATTTGGCACGCAAAGATAAAGTAAAGGGTTCATCAAAACTCAGACTAGATAAAATTAACATAAAATAAGGAGGTAAAACAAATCCATCTGAAAACCAAGTATGTAAGTACAGAAGCTGGGCCCAGCCCTAGTTCTCGTTATAGTAAAATACCCTCAGTGCTGAAAATCATTTAAGTGAAAGACTACTTGGAAAGTTACCCAGACAAAGAGAGTCCTTATACATTAAAAACAGGGAAAATGAAATGGAAAAAGTAAGGTCAAGGCCATTTAAACATAAAAGTGGCTAAAAATGATGAAGCTAAGTTAAAGAAGAGAAAAATGTAGAAAAAGCAAGTGAAGTGAGGGAGAGGACTGGGAAACGCTAAAAGAAGTACTGAGAATAAAAGATCACTATTACGTATTTTCTTTTTAAGATTTCACATCTTTGTGAAAATACCTGCTTTATTATTTAATAGACATTCCGTTAATCCTGATACTTCATTTCTCTTGTTTGGAAGTTTTTGAATGTGTATTCTCATGAAATTTTTAAAAAGTAGTTTTTAGATATTTTCTATTTATTTTTCAGAATCTGTAGGGTCTTTATATTAGAGTTCACAGCATATAGTTCCAGGTGAATGGATAGTAACATTTTACTGGAAGCATGAAATTTGAAAGTAGATATTTAAAAAAAAATCTTCTTGGTATATGAGCTGTAACATGTAGACATAAGTTTTGAATTTATTTGTATCCAACAAGTTAGTTTTTCTTTTCTTTTTTCTTTCTAATATACATATGCATATAAAATAGTTATATTATCTATTTTTTATATATGACTACAAATAAAATAGTGATTTTTAAAATAAAAATGTTCTGTGAAGGGGCTGGAGAGATGGCTCAGTGGTTAAGAGCATTGTTTGCTCTTCCAAAGGTCCTGAGTTCAATTCCCAGCAACCACATGGTGGCTCACAACCATCTGTAATGAGGTCTGGTGCCCTCTTCTGGCCTTCAGGCATACACACATACAGAATATTGTATACATAATAAGTAAAAAAAATTTAAAAATGTTCTGTGAAAATGTAAGTATTACACTGGAAGATAAAACATCAAACTCTTATGTATTTCTATAACATACCACGGGATAAACAAAATTTTCTAAATTAAATATACTGATCATGAATCTTAAAATGCCCTGTCTTCTGATAATGGTTACTTAGAGACAAGCAGAATTAATATCAACAGAAACATCTGGAAATAATAAAGCTTGGCATAGAAGTTTATCATTTTATGACCAAGGTCTTGGGGCTGAGATTTCATAGTTTGCAAACTGTATGGCTGTCTTCTAACACACTTGTTTTCAACCTGTGACAGACAGCAGATTTACCACAATATGCTGCAGGAAGCCATAAATGAGAAATCACGAGACAGAAATGGGAGGAGAGAATGAGAGTGTAGTCAGAGGGAGAAAGAAGGGAATGGAGGGGAGGAAGAAACACAACTCCACTATGAGGCCAAGTAGGAAGGACTACTAACATAAGTGCCCGAAGTGGCTTATTCAAAACCCAAAACCATTGACCTTAAAATGATCATCTTTCTTTTTGTCAGAAAAAGCTCAATATCCTATGGGAAAACTCACCATGTTGACCTCTGAAATGCTGTCGATGCTTTCAACCTGGACATCTATACCTACTGGCACTGGCGAACCTTCAGAAAGAAAAATGAATAATTTACTGAGAAATGCATTATAATCATTTTGGACATTTTCCAAAACCAAGCAACACCATTGTTCAACAATTGAAGGTGATTTATTTTATCCAATATTTTTATTCATCATTTCCTCTATTTCTGTTGAATCATTTATCATACCCTCAAATATAATAACTAAGGCACACGCACGAATAAATGCTACTTCAATCATCAGTGCTCACTTGCTTGGAAAATCCTAAAGATTTCCTTGTACAATATATTCTAGAACTAGTGTTGTCCGTTTTGGTATTCTGTGTTTTGGCTAGTAGGGTTTTAAAGAGGAACAATGTTTTGGAAACATATGTAAGAGCATGCCAGATTGTGCATTTTGTATAATAATGGCAGTTCAGTGAGTTTTATAGAGTCCTTGGCTCTGGAAATGTCAAACTCACTTCTCTCTTTTCCCTAGTGTCAGCCTTTCTCATTTGTGAAGCAGTTGGTGGCCTAGAGATAGACAGATGCTCAGAAGTTTTACCAAGGCTGTAGACTCAAACATGTCTTCTTGTAGATCAGTAGCCACAGAGGGCACAGAGAAGAAGCAAACAGTCTAGGCACTTGTTGGATGAAATACACTCAGATGGAAACTGAAGCAATCTCAGACAGTGGACTTTAAACTCACTGGCAGCTGGAACTCCTGGAACATGGCTCCTGAGTCCAGAAATTGTAGAAAACAACCCAGAGAGTCCAAGTCAGACAGCCATTGTGGCTTTTTCCAGTTCCGCTAAGAAGGAATTGCAACATTCCCCTCCCACGCGCCCCAGGCTTTCTCTCTCCTCTCTGTATCTGTAGGAGAATTGCTGTTAATAACTTTATCATTAAGTTTTGGGTATGAAATTTGATCTGCATTTATCTATGTTGACACAATCCACATGTTTACACATAATCTCTGCATGTGTTTTCTTACGATAATAAAGTCATTCTTATTTAAATCATGTTGCCTCATTGAGTTAAAAAAACTTTGAACTATTAACAAATAAAGATCAATTCTGCACAGCTGAGTCCCAGCTATTTAATCCAGATGTTGGGATTTAGATGAATCCATCCTGAGAAACTTCCATACTTGACTTAAGATTGACTGAGCATGTTCTATGTGACACACATATGCACACAATTCAACAGCCTTCTAAATGCATAATACAGTATAGAACAAGCTAACTCCTTTCATACTCTTCTGGGACATCGTTAATTCTTGATGCTATCTTTAGTAACATCAAATTTTCTTTGGTTTAAATTATCATTTGCTACTTAGAAGAATCTCAGCTAGCCAGGTACTTGGCCGGTCACTCAAATATCTTCCTGTCTCACCCTTTATTAATGCCTTACTTGTGTCGTAACCATCTTCTTCGCATATTGGATCAGTTAACTTGTATGAGACTGATTCCATAAATAGTGTTGTTTACCACAGATTCTGACACCACATGAACTTGGGAACAGCTTGACATGATTCCTTTGCAGGGTTCAGTGCTGGTAATTGGAATTTGCCCTTTTTCTTGACTTTATAATCAAAAGAAAATTCATGAAAACATCTCCTCCATTGCTCTACTTGGCACTTCATGGTGAATAAATCTTCCCATTAATTCTAATACTGCGAGGGGATGAGATTTTTGAAAGGTCCTGAGGGGGTGGCAGAAGGTCCAGGATGAAGTGCAAACACAAGTTCATCACTATTATATATTATGCAGTAAGATGTATTTCCAAAGGTTGGTTTCTTTCACTATAAGAATCTGCCCAGAGATTCTCAAAGAGTACCAACCACTTCAGGTCATAAACAGTACAGTTTATAGACTTAATTAGATCTTGATAAATTAACACTACTTGCTTAGTTATACAAAAATGCAACTAGAAGGGCACTATTCTTAACCAAACACTCAAGCATACTGGTTATCAATACACATGTGCACAAACATACACACACACACACACACACACACACACACACACACACCCCTACAATGATTTCCCACCACTCATTTTCTGAAGAAACTAGAGAACAGCTTGGATTTAGGATCTTTTAATGACAATCGGGTATTTGAATTAATGGGTTCCATATCTGTGGTTCTATCAACTTCAGTTAAGATCCAATCTGTCTATGAACTGAACATGTACTGCTTTTTCCTCATCATTATTTTCTGGAAAGGCCTGATTAACAACAATTTACATAGCCTCTACATTGTATGAGGCATTAGACGTAAGCTAGAAACAATTGCTAGACGATGGAAGACTTAAGATAGGGTATATGCAAGTGCTGTGCCTTTTCATACAAAGGACTTAAACATCTGCACATGTTGGTGTCTTTTTAGGAATAGTGGCAGACTGGAAAATAATCCCTTAAGATATGGAGAGATGGATTTCTCAGAAAATTAGAAAACAACCTTTCTCAAGACCTAGTGATACCACTTTTGGGCATATACCCAAAGGATGCTCAATTGTATCACAAGCACATGTGCTCAATTATGTTCATAGCAGGATTATTTGTCATAGCCAGAACCTGTAAACAATCTAAATGCCCCTCGACCACAGAATGGATAAGGAAAATGTGGTAGATTTACACAATGGAGTACTACACAGCAGACAAAAATAATGACATCTTGAAATTTGCGGGCAAATGGATGGATTTAGAAAACATCATATTGAGTGAGGTAAGACAAATATAATATGTACTCACTCATAAGTGGCTTTTAGACATAAAGCAAAGTAAAATCAGCCTACAATTCACAATCCTAGAGAACCTAGACAGCAAAGAGGACCCTAAGAGAGACTTACATTGATCTAATCTATACAGGAAGTAGAAAAAGACAAGATCTCCTGAGTAAATTGGGAGCATGGGGATCATGGGAGAGAGCAGAAAAAACATATAGCTCAATAAAAACAATTTTTAAAAAGAAAAAAAGATATGGAGAGATGACTGCATATCCTAGTTGTTAGTGGCTATTTCTGAAATCTTAGGGACTCTGCGATAACGCTAGTTCTCAATGATATATTCAGCCTACTGCTGGGCATGCAATGGAATCTTGAGACTTCTTTTACACTGAAGGTAGTACATGGCTTTGTCATTTGAACTGAGTTCCCATTATCTTCTATTTCTTCTCTCTTCCATTTACATCTATACTCTTTTTTAATATTTCTTTTCTTATTTATTTATTTATTTATTTATTATTTATTAAAATTTTCCACCTCCTCCCCGCCTCCTTTTTCCCTCCCCCTCCTCACCTTCCCCTCCCTCTTAAGTCTTAAGAGCAGTCAGGGTTCCCTGACCAGAGGGAAGTCCAAGGTCCTCCCCCCTCCATACAGGTCTATAAAGATGAGCATCCAAACAAGCTCCCACAAAGTCAGTCCATGCAGTAGAATAAAAATCCAGTGTCATAATCCTTGGCGTCTCAAGTCAGCCTTCATTGCCAGCCACGTTCATAGTGTCCATTTTGATCACATGCTCCAACACTCCCAGTCCAGCTGGCCTTGGTGAGCTCCCATTAGATCTGTCCCACTGTCTCAGTGGGTGGACACACCCCTCGTGATCCTGACTTCCTTCATGTTCTCCCTCCTTCTGCTCTTCATTTGGACCTAGGGAGCTAAGTCCAGTGCATCAACGTGGGTCTCTGTCTCTATCTCCATTCATCGCCAAATGAAGGTTCTATGGTGATATGCAAGATATTCATCAGCGTGGCTATGGGACAAGGCCAGTTCAGACACCCTCTCCTCTGCTGCCCAAGGAACAATCTGGGGACCTCTCCTTGGAACTGGGAACCCCTCTAGAGATAAGTCTCTTGCAAACCCTAAAATAGCCCCCTTAATTAAGATATTTTCTTCCCTGCTCCCATATCCACCCTTCCTCCATCCCACCCATCCCATTCCCCCAAGTTTTCCCCAATCTTCCCCTTCTCCCCTCTTTCTACCCATCTCCCCTTACATCCACCCCCACTCCCCCACCCACATACACCCAAGTTTTGCCTGGCAATCTTGTCTACTTCCAATATTCAGGAGGATAACTATATGATTTTCTTTAGGTTCACCTTATTTAGCTTCTCTAGAATCCCGAATTATAGGCTCGAAGTCCTTAAATTATGGCTAGAATCCACTTATGATTGAGTACATACCATATTGCTCTTTTCGGGTCTGGGATATCTCACTCAGTAAAGCATTTTCTATTTCCATCCATTTGCATGCAAAATTCAAGATGTCATTGTTTTTTACTGCTGAGTAAAACTCTAATGTGTATATGTTCCACACCTTCTTTAACCATTCTTCTATTGAGGGGCATCTAGGTTGTTTCCAGGTTCTGGCTATTACAAATAGTGATGCTATGAGCATAGTTGAACATATGCTTTTGTAGTATGATAGGGCATCTCTTGGGTATATTCCCAAGAGTGCAATTGGTGGGTCCTGAGGTAGGTTGACTCCCAGTTTTCTGAGAAATCGCCACACTGATTTCTACAGTGGCTGCACAAGTTTGCATTCCCACCAACAATGGATGAGTGTTCCCCTCACTCCACATCCTCTCCAGCATAGGCTATCGTTGATGTTTTTGACTTTAGCTATTCTGAGAGGTGTAAGATGGTATCTCAAAGTGGTTTTGATTTGCATTTCCCCAATCGCTAAGGAGGTTGAACATGACCTTAAGTGTCTTTTGGCCATTCGAAGTTCTGTTAAGAATTCTCTGTTCAGTTCAGTACCCCATTTTTTAATTGGGTTAATTAGAATTTTAGTGTCTAGTTTCTTGAGTTCTTTGTATATTTTGGAGATCAAACCTTTGTCTGATGAGGGGTGGTGAAGATCTTCATCCAATCAGTAGGTTGCCTTTTGGTCTTAATGACAGTGTCCTTTGCTTTACAGAAGCTTAGTTTCAGGAGGTCCCACTTATTCATTGTTGCTCTTATTGTCTGTGCTACTGGGGTTCTACATAGGAAGTGCTCGCCTGTGCCCATCTCTTGTAGACTACTTCCCACTTTCTCTTCTATCAG